GGCAGCATGAAGGCGGGTGGGTGGGATTCCAGGGAGACACCTACATCAGCGTGGGGAGCTGAATGTTGGAAGGAGACAGGTCTTATCCTGTAGATCAGAAGGCACGCCCGGGGTCAGCCTTGTTTGTGTTCTCGCTGTTGAGGATACAAAAGCACTTGGTCCTGGCAGGGAGTAATAAGTATTTGCCGAATGATTTAAGGAAGGTGATCAGGAGGGAAAAAAACAGCCCCGTCCCTCCTTTGTGTCTGTCTTGGTCATGGCCGATTCCCCAAGTACTTAGCATTGTGCTTGGGACGCAGGAAAGGTGCAAGGACTGAATGCAAGACACCAAATGGGCTGAATGAAGACTTGGGGAAGGAGAGGAATACATATTACAGTTCAGCTCACTGAGGCTTCCCGCAGGCCAGACGTGGAGCTGAATGCTTTTCATCTGTCTTCCCTGAATCCTCACAGACTTCACTTTTATCTTCAATTTTCCCATGAGGAAACAGATGCCCAGAGAGGTACCGTAGAAAGGATCTGATGAGGAAATGAGAAGTGAGTTCCACAGACCTTGACAAATGGGCCTTTTCGAAAGACTGACTGAGGCTTGTCCCTGACTTTGCCCACGAGGGCTGCCGGGGTCCCTCTCCAACTCCATTCGCCCCTTTGCACTTTCCTCACCAGTCCTGGAACATGCCAAGTTTCCTCCTGTCACAGAGACTTTGCACATGCTGTTCCCTCTACCTGGAGCCTGCCTGCTCCTATCTGCCAGCTTGACCTGGTCAGCACCTACTCATAGTACAGGTGGTGTGACATGTTGGGGGTTAAATTCTGACACCCTCCTTAGCTCCATGAGAGCAGGGACCGTGTCTATCATGCCGCTGCTGAATTCCCACTATGTTGCGCTGAGCCTGGCATAGAGTAGGCCATGAGCCAAGGTTTGCTGAGCAGGGATGAGAACGAATGCAGACTATATTACGTTAGAGGTGAAGCTCAATATATATCTGTTGAATGAACCAATGAGTTACTGAATGAACTACAACTGCTTCTGTGAAGTCCAGCGATGTGCTAGGAAGTAGTTGACAACCGGCATTCCGGGGGTGGGGGGAAGTCTTGATTTGTAGCATTTGCCGATTTCCATGGTGTAAATATTCCCACTGTGATCAATTTGAAGCTATCAACATGATGTCAACTGACTCCCAAAATTCCTAGAAGCGTAACAATGGGTTCTCGTGAGCTCCAGCACACTACTGCATAAGGAGACATCTGCCAGACAGCTGGGATATGTGGAAGGCGGAGGAGAGGTGGAGGCACCATGGACTTTGTCCTCAGCTCCAAGTTGGACTGCGAGGAACTTTGGATGTTCTCAGAGCATTGTTTCAAGAAAGTCAAGTTTCTTGCCCTTGAAATGAGGGAGATGAGGGTCAAATGGCAGCTCTGACCCTTACCCTTGGAGATCCTGGGATAGGTGTCTTAACCTCTCTGAGTCTCACTTTCCACATCTGTCAAAACCGTGAGGGGGTGTGGTCAGGATTCTGCAACTAGCTGGATGAAAAAATTGACCTTCCCTGGGACCTCGTATAGTGCCTGGTGGCTGCGTGAAAGAATGGTTTGATATGAAAGTGCTAGACACGTAGTAAGTGCTCAGTAAACACCATTATGTCCCCAATGCTTTTTCTGTGCCTGTCCCCACCTCTGACTTGCACCAGGTAGTGTGGGAGGGCTGGTTTTATTTCTCACACTACTGTAACAGCCCAGCATCCAGAAAAACTGGAAAGCAATCTTGGGGTTTTTCCACCTCGCCTCCTGGCCAGGCCAGGCCACTGCCGCTTCTGCCACTGGTGTGCTGTGTTAGGCACACTGTTGACCCTCTGGGTCTGGGGTGCTGATCTGTAGGACAAAGAGCCTGACCCTCCTCCTGGGCTCTTGGAGGGTGACAGTGTGGCAACGCACAGGGAAGACATGAGGCGAATCTAAGAAGCACTTTCTGCGTACCCTCCTGAGACAGCACCTTTCAGCTGCCTCTGCAGCCTCCCAAACTCAGTCCTGCCTCATGACTGCACTAGCTGTTCCTCCTCGTAATACAGGTCTCTGGTTGCCTGTCTGAAGGAGGCAGAGTAAGATGGCAGG